AATTTATTTAATTTCACGCCCTGAAGTTATTCTCGTACATATCGCGTCCCATAGATGGCGCGACGAGGCTCTCTTCGAGGGATTTTGCACAGAATTTTCCACACCACGACCGGCGAGTCGGCTTAGACTGCCCCGCGGTCGACAGTTTGACACGCTGCACTAACTATAAGTTTAGTGTAGCGAAACAGACTTGGCCCAATTAACGTCCGTACCAGTCTAACTAAAATCGTGACGTGGCGTTTTCATTATCGTAGCCATGTTGGTTTCCCGGACGTTCATTGGCTAAGCCCGTTCATTGATGTTTCTTTACACTGAGAATTCCCACTAGATGTTCTCTGGGAAAGCAGCAGCCGTATGTCTGTTATGACCCCCGATGGCATGAGGTTTCCGATGATGACGTCATACTTGAACGATGTATATATAGCACAGCAGAGCGCATAATACCATAGCCCTCTGCATAGAGCGTATAGCATAGACGATCTCTTGTTTGCAATTTATACATACCCATCGATCTTGCATCCATGAATGTATCATGCCACGCTGTTGTAGTGCGTGTAAGTGTAAGGTTGTTCCATGTGAGTCGTCGAAAGCAGGATACATTTCTTTCCATAGGTGAGTGAACCTTCGAATAGTCATCGTCTAGTTCTTACATAATGTTCTATCTATATCATCTATATGTCTCGAAATGCCAACGTATAATTATCAAGATAATGAAATGATCGATTGAGATATGCACGTAAATGCGTTTCTGTAAATCCGTAGCATTACTTAGTATGGAAGCAGGGACAGGTGATAGCATAACATGGTCTTGATTATACTGTGTTGTCCGTCGTGGATATCATGTGTGTCGTATATATATATATATATCTATATATTACGCTTGCAATATATATGGAATTCTAGCGCACGGAGACCAAATTAGACGGAGACGGAAGACGTCTTGATACATATACATATATATACATCAGTAGGCCTACTATGTTATAAGAGCAGAATAATTCCTTATAGTAACGATTACAACTATTAGTCAGTCTACGCAAATATGAAAGTTCATGTTTAATTTCAACCNTATATCATAAGCAGGCTATATCATAAGGCAGGTCTATATCATAAGCAGGCTATATCATAAGGCAGGTCTATATCATAAGCAGGCTATATCATAAGCAGGTAAAATGAGTACATGAATACAGTGAGAGAGGATTGTAACTCGCTTGTCTGAACGTAAAGAGTCAAAATTATTATTGTAGTTGAATATTGGCCTAATAATTGGGCTTCATTTCTAATGCCTAAGTTAAAGCCTAATGTTTTTAATCATGAAATTTGGCTAGTTGCCCAGTGCCATTGCCAGTGCTAGTGTGAAATATTGCAACGTCACTGGCCATATTCCCCTTCCTAACTGAAGAGCTCTGTGTGATGAGTAGTAGGGCTGTATGGTACACTATGTAACGAACAGTTAGCTATGAAGCTGTGTGTGCTTTTAAAATGTGGATGTGAAAACACAGTATGACTATGTTGGGTTTGTCAAAAGTAAACACAAATGGAAATTTATGCTGCAACAACTGTATCCTGCACAACTGTACAGTGTAGGCTGCAATTTATGCACGACTGGCATCTCTAAGTGTTTGGGGGAGGCGCAAATTAGGTTCAGCATTGAATGCATACATGTCGGACGCGACATGTGAGAAAGGCTTAGAAATAATCCTGATATATATATATCATACACACACATATATATATATATATGTGTTTAGTGTATCATACACTGCAGCAGTAAATACCATCCAGTACTCCTCGCACATTGTATGTCTTGGTCTATGACATCAGATAAATGTTCTGTCATTGTATTATTCTCTATCAATAATATTTGTTTGTAAATATTAAGATTTCTTCTAATAGTTATTTAACTTTAATTAATGTGCTTGTTAAAATTCCCTGCAGAATCATCTGAGATCTGGATTACGCATAACAACTACATGCCAGTGTATTGAGGAGCTAGTATCAAACGCCATAGATGCCAAAGCCACGTGCATTGCTGTACGAGTAGACTTGGACACTTTTAAACTACAAGTTGTCGACAATGGAATTGGCATTTCAGAGAGTGATCTATCACTCCTAGGACACAGGTACGTCTAACTGTTCACCATCATTTTTCTAGTTAAAATAAAGCGTTTTCTTGTTCATTAATACTTTATGAACAAAATTAGTGAACTGTAAACCGGGGTCATTCCTGTATTGTGTTAATCTGTCTGTAAGTGAGTGCATGGTTGTACTGGTGTGGTCATGACTGTATTAAGGATACTCTCCACGTTGTGCATGAAATTTCATCGATTTTTCGTTTTCAACTTTATTCGATGGCTAACACTATGTTCCACCTGTGTACATGCTCATTTCTCCATATAACGGTACATGTGAACTGTCAGAGCGTTTTTGCTTACCCGCGTACATGTGTAGTAAGCAGCGGCTGACGTCATTATGAAGTCAGAGACATGATACAACCACGATATTAACTAAGCCAGTATCATTCAGCGTCAACCTTGCTACAGCTGTCATTACATGTATTCATGTACATTCATGTACATCTGCTAGTGATCCAACAAGTATCCCACGCCCAAAATAGTTCTAACACTTCGGAACATTTTACCAATTTAGTGGTGTCAGTTAGTCATGGATATGTCGCAGTAAGTACTAACAATAGATATATCCCATACGTTCACCCATTTTGCACACAGGCGGTCCGGTCACTCATGGTGAAAAATAGAAAAACCCTCATTTCTCTGTTTCGATTTCTGACATATAGTAGCCGATGTATAAATGGATATTTCTTTGTGATTACAACTCGGATTAATTTAATTTTACACTCGTTTTAATGGTAACATATTGTGGTAAAGGGATTGTTATTAAGTGCCGTACTTTATTAGTTATGCCTCTTTATTCGCTAAAATTTTCTATTTTAACACACAACTTGATTTTTAAGCAGTTTTTTCCAGTTTTCTTGGTAAATATGAAAATTTAAAAAAAATCCTGACGCACTATTTTGGTGCATATTGTGCTTAAAATGTGGCAAAAATTTTGTATTCTCACTCTTTCTGGTAGTTGAGAAATATCCAAAATACCATTTTTACATAAAAATTCAAAATTTGTGTGATAACACAATTAGGTGCTGGAAATTTCATGAAATTTTTTGGCTTGAGCATAGAGATATATCTCCTCTATAAATAAAACAAGTGATTGATTCGATTCATTCGCCAATAAACGTTTAATCTTCACTAGAGCACTACCTGTGCACAATGTGGAGAGTATCCTTAAAGGATTTTTTTTTTTTTATAGATATGCAACGAGCAAGTGCAAAAGTTTGCAAGATTTGTCATCTGTCTCTACATTTGGCTTCCGAGGTGAATCGATAGCCAGCATCGCCAATGTGAGCAAAAAGCTTCAGGTCGTCAGCCGTTACATTGACACTGCCGACGTCTTCCAGAAGTGTTTTACTGGGGGTCAGTCGTCCTGCGTGGAGCTATGCTCGTCCGGTAGACCAAGTCATGGTACAACCGTCACCGTTGAGGGCCTGTTCCACGAGGCACCGGTGCGGAGACTCCGGATTGTGCCCGCGTTAGCATTCCCTCGCATGCGTAAGCTGCTCGAATGTATAGCACTGATGCACCCACACGTATCCTTCTCCCTCCGCAATGACGCATCAGGGGAGGTGTGCATGAAGACCAGGAAGAATGCCTCTGTTCTCGGCGTTTTCACCGAGCTGTTTGACGAGGTGGCCGCATCCCTGCTGCGCGAGGTCAACTACTGCTGTTGTCCGTTTGAACTCTACGGCCACGTAGGGAGAAACGGTCGGCCCCGTAAAGATCAGCAGTGGTTGTACGTGAATAAGAGGCCGGTGGAGAAAACGAGAGTGCATAGTTTCATTAACCGCTTCTGGCAGAAAACTGTGCATGGCTCACGTTCGACAATGCCTCCAGGTGGCGACACCTGCTGCAAATCATCACGTGATAATGCTGCTTATCCTGTTTATATCCTCAACATCAGCTGCCCTTTGGATGAGGTAGATGTGACGTCAGTATCTGAAACCCACTCAGTTGAGTTTAAAAATTGGGAAACTGTGCTGGAGTGCATCAGGAAAGCATTGAAGCAAGTCTGGCAAAAGGAAAACGTTGGTAGTGGTGACATGCAGGAATCAGAAGGGTTGCTCCAAGAGGTCTTGTTGCTTCAATCAGAAACTGTGAATAATGAAAATGAATCAACCTCCAAGAGAGCTCTAAACAAGCACAGTTGTTTAGATGAGAAAGATGATGAATATGTAAATTCTCTACAGTCTTTACAATCAAAGATTGTCCACAGGCCCATAAAGCGCTTAGCTAAAGTGAATGAAGTTTTAGCTTCACCTCCAGCCATGAAGAAGCGCTGCTTGTCAACACCAAAACTGTTTCACAAATCTGGGGATGCAGAACATCAAGAGGAAGAGAAAAAATACAGAGGATGCTGTGATACTCTGAAGTCTCAACGAAGCCATTTGCGTCAGTCTCACAAACAGATTTTGTCAGAAATTGCCCTCGATATCTCGAAAGTTTTTCCCCGTTTAAAAATCAGAGACAAAGACACAAGTCCAAAAAAATGTCTTAGTAGAGGACTGAGTCGGCTTCGGGCACGCAAATCTGCAGTGAACATAAATAGTGTATCCAATGAGGAGGAACTGCACAGGGGGAGGATCTTTGCAGCATATCAGATAAGCCACAGTAAGGGTTCTGGTATTACGCCCACGTGTAATAGAAATAATGTCATTCAGGGTGATGGTAGTTTTTCACAACTGCATCCAGTTTCCACCGGGATGAACCACATAAGCTCACTGACCAAACTAAGAAGTTTGCGGCGGTCTGCTCAAGCCACGGACAGGAGCACACCTACACTACATGTCCAAGGTATTGTATCTCCTTCTCACGGCGGATCCCATACCTTACCATCATGTAAACTAAACCACAAACTTAAAAAGCCGATCTCCATCTATGACAAATATAACACTGTGTTGCTCAACAACAAAAGTAACAAAGGAAGTAAAGCTACCACGGTGCGAAAAAATGTACCAGAGAATGAATGCAATCAAAATGGGTATGAGCACCAGAAAACCAAACTGATCAGCCCTAACATAAAAACATCATCAGATATGGCATGCAAAGAAAGTCCTGCACACGTTCAACATGTTAAGCCTAATGTTGTCCCTCTCAGGAATGAAACCAGTCACTGCAGATTGCGGTTTCAAGAAGACTCTACATCAGATGACAGGATGTTAGGTTTTTACACTAGTTGCTGTGACTATCCTGCTAGCACTGATCCATTACGATTAGTGGAAGTTGAGCATTTGGGCTGTAACTGTGAGAGTAGCATTGAAAAATCATGGGATTATGGGGTTCCAGCAGATGTTGACTTCAACAGCTTGACCCCAACACAGAACGAGCTATCGTTAGCAAATGCTAAGATTGGAATTAGTCGATGTCCTTGTGACAAAGCAGATTGCAAAGAATTTGCTTTCGATAAAAAGCTAAGCATATGCACTTTTGTACCCAATGTAGATATTGCAGCAGAATTGGGGCCCATAGATTGCTCATCCAGCCTAAACAGTCACATAGATGTGTGCTCTGAAAGAACTGTCTCACCAGTTGGAAAAGCTGGTTCACTCAGTTATGACACCAACCCTTTCTTTGGTGATTGCACTGGTAGATATAACACACTGGCTGCGAAATTGCAACCTAACGACGATAAAGAGTGCACATGGCTTGATCTAAGAACGTTACGTTCTTACACTGACCAGTTAGGCGATGAGAGTAACATAGAACACATAGGGGAAGGTGCTAATGAGGCATTAGCTGGGCAATTCACTGACTCTGCCACACGTACTGCTGCTCTATGTGATAAGGATTTATTCATGGACATTACAAGTGACATGGAGCGTATTTGCTGGGATTCCTTGACTCATAGTTGTGTGCTTTCAGACCTGGACAGAAATGAAGCAGTGCATTGCTTGAATGTCAATAGTAGGGAATCTATAGATATGGAAAGATGTGGCAAGAAAAGCCCTCTGTGTCTGTCTGTTAGTAAATCAGATTGCACCTTAGATATTCCAAACGTTAATATCAATCTGGAAGGTAAAAGCTTCACTCCACTAAAAGTATCACCGAACTCATCTCTCCAGCCTGTGCTGTCAAAGCCTACTGTCAGTGATTCTTCACTCCATGTCAGTGCATATCCTAACAGGAACTCTTGTTCTTCTTTGATGCCCCCTGTGTGCACACAGCTGAAACATGTAGACAATAATGAACGACTAGGTGTTGATATGGATTTGTATGAGTCATCGCAGAAGCCTGCCAATATGTTGGTGAGAGAACCGCCCTTGATTGATATCGATCTCATTAGAAAGCTGTCAAGAGCTCATCGCAAAACAGCTGGCACGAACGATCAGCTAGAACATGGCAAGAAACCATCACCCACTGCCAAACATGACAAGAACGAGATGCCAGAATACGTTAGGAGCAATGTACACAGTATAAATAGTAGTGGGAAGCCCACTGATGATGGTAAGCCACCTCCCAGTGTTGCTGTCACCTCACCTGGTCATAGTAGCAACCTGCATGGTAGTGATGAACAGCCATCTAGTGGGAATAAACAGCCATATATCGGTGCTGGTTACGCAACTGCTTGTAATAAGATGTCACTTAGCAGTGGTGATACGACCCCTGGTGATGATGCAGTGTCATCTTGTGAAGATAAGGGGTTGCCACCTGTTGGTGATGAGAAGACATCTGCTGGAGATAACGTGTCACCACCTAGTGACCAGACAGCAGATGGCTTGCCACCGAGACTTGGAGATGATGTTACAGCAATTGCCAGCACAGGTAGGCAATACCACATTTTTCCTCTCAATTAAAATGTCTTTTTGTATATGTGTATGCATTCATGATAGGTATCTTGTCTTTTCGATAAGTATAATGAGAGTCCAAGTATGGCTTTTAACAGTACCATCAGGTAAAACGTCTTTTAATCATAAGTGCCAATTTTAGTTGATTGGAGCTGGTGTAATGTTATCTTTAACATTTTTACGCATTTGCTTTGAACAGGTGATGTTCAACTGTTTGACCCAATAAGAGGTGAGTATATCAAAGTAGATGCCAAGTCGGGGATGACACTAAGCACAGGGAAAACCCAGTTAGAAGAGATGACGATAGATGCTTCAAGTGATGCTAACTATGAACAGAATAGCAGTAGTGGCATCGCTTTAATGAAAAATACAGGTAATTGTTTAAAATATAAATATAGGCAATGTTTTTAGAAGAGCCTTATTTAAAGTCAATTATTTGTAAATTAATCTTTTTAAACAGAAAATATTTCTACAGTTATGTCACTTTCTTTTAAAACGGTTTAATACTTTTTCCTTACTTGCAAATTGAAACCATTGGCAGGTAAAGCACACTTCTTTCTGTCACACGGTGCAACACCCTTTCTCCCAATGAACGACAAAAAACAACCATTGGAAGCCTTGTCACCGCAGTCTACCAATGTATTGGACAACCTCTGGAAATCACATGTGGACACACTCAGCTCAACGGACACTATAATGCAAGGTTATAGCCGAATTGTTCTATTATGATTAATATTATGTTTTCTCATGTCTTTAGTATTTTTTAATTCTAATGCTCAAATTTCATAGAGTTACAATAATTTGCTCTGTAAGTTAGTTTGCCCATGTAAGGTTGTAGACTTTTAAATTCACACGGTTTCCATTAAGCAGTACAAAAGCTGTGGATCTCTTATAATATCCCATTAGTAGGCACTTGGAAAGCTGTACGAGCAATTTGCTTTTCTACTTAATCTTCTACACTTTTCTAGTGTTGGTTGCCCAAAAGCAAACCAATGACAATTTATCTATTAACGCTCATCGTTCTATGGTGACTATATACACAGGTGGCATGAACGCAGGGCTCATAGAGGCGTGGGAAAATCCGGTGTTGTATAACTACCAGGCCACCATACCAAGCATGACAGATGGACGTATGCAGAAAGCAGCTCTGCGAAGGCTGCTGCTGAATCAGGCATACAACTTTACTAGGAGCATGCTGCATGATGTGCAGGTGGGGAAGTGCTTGAAGTGAAGACAGCAGTAATTGTATTATAGCAAGACGAATAATTTTGCAGAAGCACAAGCTTTCTTCATAAACTGTGGATGAGTTGAATGTGACTGTGTACGTGTGTACGTTGTACATAATATGTGTAGCATGTGATGATAGAACATAAGTAGGTATAGAGTATAATAGTATGCTATAGAGAGGCTACTACTTCAGTCCATGGCTAGATTAACTACTGCTTAGCCGTGCCTGTAATGATGAGAGATGCACTGCTATACATTATTAATTCATTTTGATTTTTATCACATACAGTTGTATCGTTTTCGTTGATAGGTTCTTGGTCAGGTGGATGAAAAATTTATCGCCTGCCTGATGAGAACAAATGAAAGTGTCATGTCGCCAACCGATGACGGTGCTGCGGTTAGAAATGATGGTCACGTACTAGTTCTGTTTGATCAGCATGCCGTACATGAACGAATCCGTTTGGAGAAATTTACTGCAGGTGCAATTTAACTCTTGCATAATGTTACTTTTCTGCAAATACTCATGCCATGCACAATTTTATTTAATCAATTTTTCTGTGTTTGTCTTTACTTGGAATGTGTATTAAGGAGATAGATCGTTTGTTTTTATGACTACTGACCTGTGTTATATTAAAGATTTCTGCTAAAAATCATTCAATAATTATTTCAATAAAAACACTAATTGTGGTCATGTTGCTTAATTCTATTTTTAGATACCCACGTGGATATGAAAGCGAGACAAGTAAAGTCCTTCGTTCTACCCATGCCTATCCTGATTGCTCTACAAAGCGCAGACAAAAAGATCATGAAAGAATTTCATGCTTCCTTTGTGAAACTAGGAATCAACTTCTCCATAGAGGGCACTGGCGTCAAAGTTACGGCTATACCCCAGTTACTGAAAGAAGAAGCTCAGATGTCCCAGGCAACTTGCAAAGTTAATAATGAAGCAGTAGAGGTATGTTCATTATGAGAATAATAAATGATTAGTATATGTAATGGTGTTAAGTGAAGGTAAATTATTTAATTGTTTTAAGTTATAGTCCTATATAAAAATAGAGTCAGGAGCCTCTAGCAATGCCCCATACTTATCTAGTGGTCAAAGAGGCCATTATTTGTGAGGCAATAATAGAAAAAAACGTCATTCCCTTCCCTGCTCCTCCCACTGAATAACTGTTGTTGTCATTGGCGTTTGCCATGATTGCTTTTGCACTCAAATGTAAAAATCATTCCTCTGTCAGTCTTGAAAAATCCCGCCATTGTTATCTTGTTTTTTTATTAATAACGGTGCGTCGTCTGTTAGTACCCCCACGACGAAGTTGGCGGGGATACTATGGTTTCATGTCTGTCCAGCTGCCGCTCGCCACCGCCGCAGACACTTTCCCTTATGCTCTATAACTCGACCCTTAATTGACCTAGCGCGACCAAACTTAGGTATACTTACATATCTTGGGGAGAAGGTGTGTCGCATGACAAAACCAGGTCACTGCGACCTTTATTTGACCTTGACCTTGACCTTCATCATATTTCCCTTCCGCTCTATAACTCGGCCCCTAATTGACCTAGCGCGAGCAAACTTCATATACTTACACATTTTGGGGAGAAGGTGTGTTGCGTACCAAAACCCCTAGAGTAACCAAATTTGACATACTTGCACATCTCAGGCAGATGAGTTGTGTAACAAACCTTTGTCTTTGTGACTTATTTTACTTTACCTACTTTGTACGTCCTTACAGAGATATTTCATTCATACTAGATCGCATGTCGTTGGCGAAAACTGCCATTTCTAGTTCTGTGTGAAATGTGATGTTCCACTTACGTAGCATTTACGTTATCACTGTGCTAATAAGGTTGAATATATCACGGCAATCACAGACAGTCATGAGTACCCATGCAGCATCTGTATGCGTAGGTAATGCAAGTTCCCTTCACTTTTGAGAGACCTGAAATTGAGCTGACATATAACTGAATGTAACGCGATAGCTAGAGTAATTACATTACCATGGCATACAAACGAGTGCTCATTATGCCCCTTGTACATGTGGACAGTCTCATCAATTTGTATGCAGTGCACGTTACATCTACCTAATAGCCTATCTAGACAAGCCACCTATCATGTTATTCGTGTGTTTTCGGAGATGCACTGTTCATAGCCACAATCCTGGTGTACTTTATCTTGAAATCAATGATAGTATCACCACCGTATATGTAGTATATAAACATCAACTTCGGCATCCATGATACGGTGCAGTGGCTGTACCATGCACCCTAGCAGTAATTTATTGTCCCTACACTTTGTTATTGCTGTGGAGGGACTTGTTATTACTATTAGGTATAAAGTTAAATTTTCATTATAGGAATAGACTTCTCGTTGCAACGTCAATTCTGTGCTCATAAGTGCTGCTCATGAATACTCTCTTAATTGCATGTTGCACTTCTGATGATATTATAGTCAGTTATTATTTTTCCTCCCTTTATATAACACTGCTGTGTCAGACAACAATGTTTGTACTTTTCACCTGTATAGAATATTGTTGCGATAGAAAGTAAATCGATATAATTATACTGACTTCATAGAATGTCACTGTTAGATAGTGTAGGAACGTGTTACACCGTCTTAGACTATTGATGTGACAAACAGTATATAATAAGCATGAACATCTGTATTCTCCAATACATATGCTCATTGAATAAATAACCCATGCAAGTTTATACCCGCCTGTACTACATGCAATGTTATTCTCATGCTTGCAGGAGCTAGTGAAGGAGCAACTGCAATGGTTGAGGGTAACACGCGGCACTAGGGGAACACTTCCACCTACATTGACACGCATTCTTGCATCTAAAGCCTGCCATGGTAAGTGCTAAGATTGGTAAGTCAGCATAATCAATACATAAGTCCTCTGCCAAAAGTTGAGTATGTGTAATACTAATGGCTAGGGGTGCGTTGTCAGAAATAGTCAGCCTAAAATCTCATAACTTTTGTATGACACTGCACTTCAAAAGAATTTTGACTTATGATTTTTCTAACAATGGGCACCAGTGACCTTTCTAAACCTATTAGCACTCGTTTGCTAATAGCATATTGGTGTGGGGGGGGGGTGAATGTATTATATACATAGACAAGCACATGGTAATTATTATTGTGAAATTGTACTAATGTAATTATAGACCCACCTCAATACTCAATGAGCGAAATTTGGATTGCTTCAAACTATGTTCGAAACTTTATCATATTTTCCCGGGGGAGGGGGGGGGCACTCCATATATATTGCATGGTAGGTATGTGCCGCAGGAGAGACCCCCGTTTCAACCCTAAACTTTCGTTCCAGTGCATCCTATTTTTAAGAATATTTCGCAGGGCCGTAGTGCCCTCCCAAAAAGTGCCACTGCAGAAATATGTAGCTGATGCGGGGGTTCTGGGGGTACTCCCCCAGAAAAATTTTGAATTGTAGAGCCTGAAAATGCAGGAATTGCTATGTTGAAAGCAACCAATTCTGATCATTTTAAAAGGTCAATTTGTAAATTTCAAAGAGGAATGTAGCTAAAGCTGATGTTTTGACTAAAGTATCTAAAATATATATTATGAGTATGATAACTAATAAAACATTATTTACAAAATTGTATATACTATCAGTATATAATTATGAAAAATAAGTCTATTTTCAATCTGCATTTATACTTTCACTATGTACATCTGTATAATTGAAGTTTGAATTTGAATAGGCACATTGTCATATTAAATACACATTCCAAATCTTAGAGCACTGATATAACACCTCTAATTACTCACTATTAATAGTAAATTAGTAATACCAGACAGTCCAGTCAGATAACTTGTCATTTTATTTTTTTATTATTCCAATTTTATATTTTCTGCCTGGATGGCAACTTACAAATTCTGAAATTACATCCTGTTCATCTACCTTGTCTAACATGTCTCGGTGCACATGCATGACCATTGCATTGTTGAGCCTTATGCTAGGGGCACACGAGCGTATTTTATCGCCCGATCGC